TGCTAATTAATGAAAATAACTCTTCTAGATACTATAGTTTACAAAATCGTCCCGAGACAAAATTTCAACCCTGTAGACACTTGATCATGTGAATCAGTGTGGCCTACGTTATCTTCATTTCTTTCTCTAATTCTAACGAAACTTTCGTAACACTTTCTCCAATTGTGAATGGAATCGTAACAAGTTATCTCTTCTTGTAATTACAAGGAGTCCGCGTTAAAAACGCGGGGAATTCGCGGGTCCGCGGTACGAGACTCGGACGCCAGGCGGCGATACCTATCGGCGCGGATGTCCATGATGGCCGCCGTGATAACGTAACCGCGCCCCCGACATCTCCGGGGTACCGCCCACTTCCGTTGCCAAGGCAACCGGCTGGCAGCCATTTTGGTACCGCGACCTACCACAAGCCACCCCCACCGCACGCGCGCGAATCAACCCCCACCACGGCCCGCGGCTTCGACCACTATTCACCTCCGCTTCCCCCCATATCAGCCGCGACACGCTATCCGCGTCGTCGCGGTCCGTTTCGAGTTCCTCCCGGACGCAGAACGAAACGGAACGGTATACGCGTGTTATTGTTCCCTCCAGTGACTATTCTGCAGAGGAAAAAGGACCTTCCATGCAGTTCATATTGGGTCAGACGTTATATTCACTCTTCGCGAGGCGAAATTCTACGTACGCACAATACATCACCCTTCACCCTTTTACGTTAAATTAATCAGAGACGAGAACAAGTCCCTGTGCTCAATTAAATTTCTTTCTTTTATTAATCAAACATTACTCGTACTCGAATATTTCGGAGCAACCGAAATTGAGAATTGTTCTTCCCTCCCTGCTGAGTTATTTATTCCTCCGGGCTTCTTGTTTAAATTTTCGAAACGTTTAATTTAGAAATGCTCCACCTGGTAAAGTCGTAAAGTGGCGAAGTCGTTGAGCAAAGTAAATAAATTACCAGGAATCGTTTCGGAGTCGAAAGGCAATCGATACGGGAGAAAGGTTGATAACCTTTGATACAGTTATGCAAAGATTCGAGCTACTTTGAATATCGCTCGCGCGTAGAAATGTTTCTCGACCTTGAATAAATATCGAGGGGCATTGTGTCAATGAATTTCGACGACTCGGAAGTTTTAAAAGTCTCGAACTCCCTTTGTTTGCTGTACGGGAGTCGAATCGCGGTCATTTTCTACTTGAATTTATGACGATGCCGAGCGCAGTGAAAGGACTGTTTGGGACTTACAAAGGGAGTCGCGATAAAACCAATTCAAAGAAACGCGGCGCTGTACGGGCTCGCTACTTTAAAATTTAAACGGAACCTCGAACGGAGCCGTTGGCCGGTCTCCCTCCGAATCTTTCGTGACTCTAATCGCTATCATTTCCACCTCCGAACGGTGTAACATCGACCAAAGGCGTGGAGAAAGGCAGGCTGTCCTCAGATTTTAGAGCGCAGATAACACCGACACGTCGTTCGCTTCCTTTTTAACCAGAACACGAACATTTCGACCGCGATCAGCTGCACTTGGGTCAACAAACTACACACGTTCGCTGTATAGTCATTCTCTAAATAGAAATCTCGAGCATCGAATTAAAGATAAAGAATTTTTATCGGCCGCTCGTCGTACACAAATAACTCGTGTCATCTTCACACAACGAACGACGGATAAAGTACTTTTATTCCATTTTTTTATAAGCAGTCTCTTTATCTAAGAAACGACCGTGTTGTTTTGCACATCTGGACGAACGTTGACGCATTTTCTGTCTCTTGGGAAAACGAATGGACGTGTTCAGCTTACTGTTTGTCTCATTGTAGGAGTTAACAGTAGTTCGGACTCATGGTGCTTTAAATAGATTAGGAAACATCTCTAATTTTGATCATTTCGTT